AAGTCTCTGTTTGAATAGTTAAAGCTGTTTTCATGGAAAATGAAAAATGAGCCTTCTCGACATCATCATATTGTGGGCCTTGGATTTCCAACAAGAATTTCTCTAGAAACTGTAATTTGCAATGTTACATTTGGTATAATACCACCAGCACTCAGGAAATTCCTTGCCTATCTGCTTAGTAAAATATAGAAATACTTAAATTAACATTCCAAGGAATCTAGACATGTTTTTAAAAGTCTGCTCCTGGAATTAGTATTCAATTCATATCAATAATGATTTTTACATCTTGGACAAAATCATCCTCACCATGCAATAAATGAAGCTGGCAGGGCTTTCAGGGCTCACAGTTCAAAAGATGATAGATCTCTGCATAATGCAAACAGATACTCATGCCTTTTTAGCTCGGTCAATAAATCCTTTGAGAGAACTTTGGAATAGTGGGAACCTTGATAATGGCCTGTTATGAAGGAAGCTACAGAAAACTCTTCAAAACAGTTTGCTGTAATGGGCTGAGCACACATGGGGAACAGTTTTCCATCTGTCGCTACCCTTTCTGGAAAGCAAAACTGGACAAAAATGAGCGTAGGGGTAAAAGGGATCTGGGAAAATGTATTGTAAAAATATTTATAGCCTAGCCTCTGTTCTAGCAATATAAGTGGTGTTATGTTCACTTACCTCCGAGATGTATGTGCAAGATCAGGCCATAAAACCTTCAACAAAAGCTACCCAAAAGAGTCCTCAATAGAGTTATGCCCCAGCACAGCCAGCAGAGCAGCGTGGTGCAAATAGCTGATGAGCTCTACTTCACTGTCTTTCCTCACCAGCCATGTCAGAAATTGGCATCAGCACCACTGGCTCTGTGGCAAGAAATCACAATGCCACAGGAATGCTGCCAGATGAGAGGACATTTAACAGTGTCTTCCAACGCCTGGGATCCCAAAAGAGACACTAAATCCAACCCTAGTCTCTGCTAGATTAACAAATAAGTCTGAGAAACACAAACTTTTCTCCCGTATTTTATAATACTAAGCAGAGTCGCACTGAATTGCCAAACCACCCTCATGCTGTCCAAGGGTTGTTGGACACACTTTGTTAGCACAGAAAGCATGTGTACCCTCCCCAGAGGATGCTGACTCATCACTCACTGTGCATGGCCCCATCAGGTGCATCACTGCAGGTGGAGACTGCAGTAATTGAGGGCAGTGACATCAACAAACACACCTGGCAGCCACAAGTACTTGGCAAAGAGCCCGGGTGGCACAGGAGCAGGGAACCTGGCACTGTTCTTCTTCCTACACCTGCACAGCCCTGCACAAAATTACAGCCTGCTCCTACCGACTGCAAAGCTGACCCAAGGGCAGGACACGTTTCCTCAGACTACTGAGGTTAAACCACTGGGTCCTATTTAATCTGTTAGAACCATCAGTGCACCCGTAGCAGAATGGAACCTGAAAATCCTACCAGATTGGGCTGCAGTAACTGGTAAACCAGGTATTTCCAGCCTGCAGTCAAAACAAACATGAGAATAAAATCACAGCCCTTTTAACATTTTTTTTTCCTCCCCCTTTTTTTTAAAAAAAAAAAGCAGCAGTCAAAAGCCCTCTTGAAGGCTTGTTTACAAGCAAACCAGTCTCAAAGGCTGGATTTGCATTGGCAGGGTTTGGAGCCTGCAAAATAAACCTTTCTAGGTAGTGTTTTCCTTCTGCCTATAAGGGAGGAATGGTTTCCAGCGTAATTTCTCCCAGACTACATCCCTTTCAAAGTGCACTGAAGAAAATGCCTGTTTCAACACAGCTGCCCTCATCTGAGCTTCCCTGGGAGCCTCTGCACTCTGGGCACGCTCCTGCAATCCTTCCTTTCGCAGGGCGATGAATGGGAACACACACTCTGACAGCCCATTGACAGGGTGAAATCACTGCTGCCATTCAAACACAGGAGAATGTACAGAAGCTCTTATTTAGCTGCAATTTCCTTGGCAGAAATCATCCCACTTGGGTGATGCTTTATATTCTGATATAGTGGATATCACAAAACATCTTTTAAAAACTATACTTCTTTAATCAACGCTATGGTTCTAACCTGAGTGCCAAGTTGCAGTTGGAGAGAGATTCTACACACAACTGAAATGAAAACTGCTTTTCAATTACCTACAGTTTCCTCTCTACTGTCCTGTGTTCTTCATTCTCCAAGGACATTTGTGCTACTAATGTTTTGCATGCAACAGTGATTAATTGAACTAGACCACCAGTTGTGCTCAACTTCTATTTCACCCACAACTGGCTGTTCTAACAAAGGGCCTCTGGTAAGAGAACTGCACTTTGGCTCCTGAAAATTATTATTGTAACAGGCAGGCCAGAATAATTATAAAGCATCTGTTGAAATTTCAACTGCAAGGACAGTGACTTTCCAGGCCTCTTAAAATTTCATTCTTTCAACACATCTAGAGAACAAAGCAGAAGGACTTTACTGCAATTCATGCACTTCTTTGGAGTTCTTAATTCTTTGCACTTCAGCCAAGCTTCGTGTGCCAGAAAGAAATGACGTGATTGATCAGTAATTAAGGTTTGGGTTCTTAATTTGCAAGAAAAATTTCAAAGATGCAATTAATTTAACACGAACTTCTTGTAAAGGACATCCCTAAAAAACTCCTCTGGTAGATGCAGACATTTGGAAAAAACTTGGATTCTTGTACTAGGTAACTTCAAAGCCACTTTCAGTTCTGTGCACAGTCCTGCATGGGTGGAGCACACACCCTCTCAGGAGCTCAATGCCAAGGCTTGTACTGCTCCCTCTTCATGTGTCATGAAAGACCATGTGGTGAGAAGACATCTAACTGATTTTGTTACATGGACTTGAACACTGGAGAGCAGAGTAAGCCACGTATGCCACCCCATCCACCCCGGGTGTACACCTGGTGGCAGGGCAGGAAGCACAAGCAGCCTGTGGCAGATCCCTGCTGATGTGAGATGCTGGGCACGACATGAGAGAAACTGCAGAGACAGGACTGACCTGCAGAAAGTCCATCTGAGCTGCAGCCCTCCTTGCTGGCCCATGTCTAACCAGGTCAGGCATGTGGATTGGCAGCCTTCAGCAGAGAGGCTGCATGGCTTGCTTTTCAAGAACCATTTGGACCCACACGATGCTGTGACATACTTGATGTGCTGAGAACAGTGGGCATAATGCTCAGAAGGCAGCTGAAACTAATACACCTGCACAACACGTAACTGAAGGGGAAAAGGGTTCTGCATCCTGAAGAAATAATCGCTTGTAAATTCTGGCAAGTGCCTGGACACAATCTCTGTCCCTGATGTTTATTTTTCACTTTCAGCCTCCTACTGATGTGGCAAGTGACTAGAAGCACCTGCATGTTATTTTTTCCATTCACCATTTTTCTTAGAACCTTCTGCAATTGACTCAATAGGCTGTATTATCAAGCCTAAAAGTTCACTGATCATTGACTGCTTAAAGCTTAATTACTGTGCAAAAAACCCAAGCAAACACCCAAGTCTTTTAAATGTCAGCCAAGCAGCACCAGCACCTTCCTCCCCATGCCCCACTAAGGATGTTAATGTTTTCAAATCTTCTAAAAAAAGCTAATGTATGTGTCTTCCTACCTAGTCTACCTGAGGAGCAGCAGAAGCTGCAGAGATCCTATGATCCACATCATTCCAGTTGGTTAAAGCTTCCGTAAAGGCCTATTAACTTTTTACAAAGATAAAAAAAACAAACCTGAAATTGTTTCCAGCCAAACCTGGCCAATCCACGCTTAGTTTCCTAAAGCACAGCCTCATGTCATGGCATCAAAAAGCTTTAATTATCTGCAATGCTACAGCATATTATTACACGTGGAACCACTGACCTATTAATCCAAACATAACTAATCCCAGCACTGCTCACTGGAAAGGAGGGCTGAGCTCATTCAGGCTGCAGGAGACTGTGAGGCAAGCAGGCTGAAATATCTGTTCATGCTTCAGCAGCTACAACATGTTCATGGAGAAATCCTGGAGTACTCTGTAGGAAGTGTCAAAAACTTCCACACACGTTGTGAGCTGCCATCAGGAGTTTAAAGAAAATGGGGAAAAATTCTGGCACTCAGTATCTGAGTCTTCTGAGGAGCTTTATAAGCACTAGTACCAGAAAAGGTTTAAGAAAGTTACACCCATTCTAGGGCAGGGAACTTGGCTTACCAGACATAAACTAAAAAGTGAAGAAAAACTAGGACTTCTGATGTCAACCCCCTAGCTGTTCTTGTCTTCAGATCGTGTTAGCTCCAACGAGAGCTGTGTTACTCCAATAATGGAAATACAGGGTTCAGTGTATTATCTATTACCCTCTATCATAATACTCAGGATTTCCTACAGACACACGGGAGTGTCCAAAGGAGAAGGGATTTTAAACAAGCAATGTTTAGCAAGTTATTTTATAGAAATTTTAAGCAATTCCATACATGGGAAAATAACAGTCATAGGCAGAGGTAAAAATTTTATGATAATTCGAGGATAAACAATAAATATTTATTAGCATAAAATATTCAGCACATTGTTCTTAGTATGAAAGTTTTGATGAAATCTGAATAAATTCCTGGCCCTCCCTGTGTTACACAGGAAAGTCATCTTCAACTGCTTCTCATTTCTAACTCCCATATGACACATTTTACAATACCTATGTGATTAGGGCAGGAAGAAATCTGTATTTGTTATAACACCAAAAATGGATCAGGGTTAAGCCACCGTACTTTTCAACAAGAAAGGAATCTGTTCCACCTTCTGCAATGGTTTACTACCACATATACACACAATTATCTTTTTTCTTTTCCCCTGTTTAAATATGAAGACATCAGCCTGTAAGGAGTCTAATATGAACAGTCACCACAGTAGCTTATTTTTTTTCCACTGAAAAGTCAGTATCAGACCTCATTCTTACTCATCTGACACAAGAAAAACACTGCTGGATCAGCAGCTGTGTTCCCACCAGACACAAGGAGGAAAGGCTGTACTTACTTGTTAAAAAGATTCAGCCCGATCCTGTAGTGGCGTTTCCTGATAACATCGTTACTGAAGGCAGGGGAATCCCAGCTGTTGCGAGTTTCCTTGTGGTAGGTTTGCTTGCTCAAGGTTTGCTCCCTTAGGCTGTCTCTAGAAGACGATTCTGAGCTGCAGTTTATGGTGTCATTGGAGTTGGAAGTGCTGTTGATGCTGTCGTTGTCTCCATCGGAATAATCGGACTCTGATTTGCTTTGCCTGTTTGCTGTGCCATTGATAGCCAAATGACTATCTATAGGCCTACCCCTGTGCCTTGCCTCCTGCTCCTCTCGGGGTATAATCTTGGCAGGAATACTGTGAGGGATGTGTTTTGGGCTTCCTTGTTGACCAGGGAGCCCTCGGTCATAGGCATTTTGTCTCTTTAACGAACCTCTGTCTGAGCGATCACTCAAGTCCACTGAACTGTCACTGGGTGGCTCAATAGTTAGTAGTGGCAGATGATCCATTCTCATCCTCTGTTCCTGACATTCCAGGGAGGGGGTACTCCTGCAGCTCGTATCAGTGTCTATCTTATCATCTTTGTGGGTCATGGACCAGTACTCTTGGGAAGAGTTCACAGACCGGAGCCTCATATCAGATTCTGTGCTGGACGGTCTGTCTACTGACTGGGAATGTGGAAGGGGAGGAGATAACTCTTCCTCATCAATATATAACGTAACATCACTGTATGATGCTGTCATCTCATCCAGCTTCCTGTGATCCACGTTGTGAAGGGCTGGTTTTGTTGGAGCACAAGTGTCCCTTTCCATTTCGCGACTTCTCACTTGATCCGGAGTCTGGACTTCATCGGAGTGGAGGCTCCGGCAGTTCAGGGCATCATCAATGGACTCTGCCAGGGATTTCACCTGCCTGGAAAAAGCATCCTCCAGTTCTGTGATAGCATCAGCAAAATCAGTGGATGCTGCTGGAGACTTCATTGTAGCTGACTCTCCAAGGTCACCACATTCAGACGGTCCCAGGGATCCCAGCTTTGACCCATCATTTGTAACAGAAACTTGTTTTCCTTCAAAGTAGGAGCTGTGGACTTTCTCAGGCCCTTCAAAGGAAAACTGCATTCTCATATTGGACAGTACAATGCGTCTTGACATACGATTTTCAGACATAGAACTTCTGAGACGCTCGAAGTTCTTGTTCATCTGATACTGGCGGAAGGCGGTCTGGATGGTGCGGGCAGCATGCCTGGTTATGAGACGGCCCCCATACTTCCGTTCTAGCATTTCCACCTGCGGGAGGGCAAACACAGGCACTCTGTAGAATCACAGGACGGTTTGAATTCGAAGGGACCTTAAAGATCATCAGGTTCCAACCCCCCTGCTCATGACACCTCCCACCAGCCCAGGCTGCACAAGCCTCATCCAACCTGCCCTTGAACACCTCTAGGGATGGGGCAGCCACAACCTCCCTGGGCTCCCAGTGCCTTCCTACCCTCATGGGGAAGAATTTATTTCTGATGTCTAACCTAAATCTCCCCTCTTCCAGTTTAAAACCATTCCGCCTTGTCCTCTCCCTCCCTGCCCTTGTCCCAAGCCCCTCCCCAGCTTTCCTGGAGCCCCTTCAGGCACTGGAAGGTGCTCTAAGGTCTCCCTGGAGCCTTCTCTTCTCCAGGCTGAACACCCCAACTCTCCCAGCCTGGTTCCAGAGCAGAGCTGCTCCAGCCCTGGGATCACCTTTGAGGCCCTTCTCTGGCCCCTCTCCAATAGCTCCATGTCCCTCCTGTGCTGAGGGCTCCAGAGATGGACACAGTTCTCCAGGTGGGGTGTCCCCAGAGCACAGGGGCAGAATCCCTTCCCTGGCCCTGCTGGCCACACTTCTCTTGATACAGCCCAGGACACAATTGGCCTCTGGGCTCCAGTGCTCACTGGTGGCTCAAACGAAAAAACAAAACCCAACAACTATTATAATTTTGAGAATTTTTTTCAACCTGTGTGCTGCTTTTGAAAGGAAAAACTCAAAGCTACAGACAAACAACTGCACAAATAGTGAACTGAATAGTCACTTGCAAGCCCGACCATAAAAATACAGACAAAAATACAACCATATGAATACTATCATCAAATTAAGGTGTTGACAATTGGTGTGTTTGCATCTTGGTTTTCACACCGTGGCATTGGTGTGCCTGCTGGTGCCAAAGCAGGCAGGGCAGCACCCTAGTACAGCTTAACACAGTCACTCTTCCTCTGCAGGGACAGCTGCAGAGGACTGAAGTCCAAGTGTACAGCAAATTGCCATATTTTGGGAGTCAATCCTAACAGCAGCCATCACCTTTCCAGGAGTGCATCACTTTCTATGTAAGTAACAACCAGGTAGCACTGATTCACCCAGGCCTCACATCAAAGCAAACCCCCCCAGACCACAGGGTTCCAGAGGTTTCTCAGACAAAATACCCACACATGCAGTCTTCTTCCTCCAGCCAAGAAAATATTTCAGAATTCTAAATACAAATCAAAATTTATTTCCATTCCTGTAACCACACTCAACATTGCCACTGTGTCCAATTAACAGAATGAATATGCAAAATAAATAGCTATAAATGCTATCAATTTAAGCTAGTGAAAACGACATGTCAGTGCTTTTGGAATATTCATCAGGTATTCTCAAACCTTTGCTACCAAACCATAAAACACATCACTTATTTTAAAAATATTGAGCAATGTGAATAACTAGTCTTATTCAATTCCTTCCTCAACATTTAATTTCTGTTCTAATCAGTCTTTGCTGGATCCTGATTATTCACAAACACAAAACATCCATCACCAATTATTGTGTTTGTACCACAACTAAACACCACATTTCTTTCTGGCAGCATTTTTTAGCAAGTCCATGCAATATTCATAATACATCAATGATTCAAAAATAATTTCTCCTTGCCTGCAGATCCAGGTACCCTTTTTCATTAGACATGATGTTTTAATTCCTTATGCTATGTGCACACACCACCTCCCCACCTCATACTTTGGGGACCTTTCCCAGCAATTTCTCAGTTGAGACACTGCTGTGCAGGAGGCCCCTTTTATGGTAGGAACTAAATTCTGTCAAAAAAAAAACCCTTTCTAGTGCATTATGTCTACCATTTGGGAGTAGTTGCTGTGTTTCTTTCAGTGCTATTGCCAGCTTCAGCAGCTCCCATTCCCCTTCCACATTCAACATTATCTCCTTCGTGGCTCCATGTTTTTACACATGCATCACTTATTTTTAATTTTTTTTATTCCAGATGCAAAAATGCAGAGTTTTTGGCATGAACTGAGCTGGGACCACCTAAATCTCTGTGTAACACTAGAAGCAATCCAGGCCCAGTGCTGAATGAGGTGGGTGCCCTGGTGATGGAGGAGACAAAGAAGGTGCAGTTATTGAATGCTTTCTGTACTGCTGGAGACTGTCCTCAGGAGCCCCAGAGCCCTGAGGCCCCAGAAGAAGGCAGGATAAAGGGGGAGTTTGCCTTGGTTGATGAGGACTGGGTTTGGGATCAATTAAGCAATCTGGACATCCATAAATCCATGGTTCCTGATGGGATGCACCCGTGGGTGCTGAGATTGCTGGTTGAAGTCATTGCTGGGCCACTCTCCATCATCTTTGGTAAGTCATGGGGAACAGGAGAAGTGCCTGAGGACTGGAGGAAGGCAAATGCCACTCCAGTCTTCAAAAAGAGTAAGAAAGAAGACCCAGGTAACTATAGACTGGTCAGCCTCACCTCCATCCCTGGAAAAGTGATGGAACAGCTTATCCTCAGCACTGTCTCTAAGCATATCAAAGATAAGATGGTCATTATGAGCAGTCAACATGGTCTTTCCAAGGGGAAGTCAGGTTTAACCAACCTGAGAGCCTTTTACGAGGACATAAGCAGGTGGGCAGATGATGGTAGAGCAGTGGATGTGGTTTATCTTGATTTCATTTGACACCATCTCCCACTGCATCCTTGCAGCTAAACTGAGGATGAGGGGGATTGTGAACTGGTTGAAGGGAAGAAGTCAGAACTGTGGCCAACAGGACAGTCCAGCTGGAGGTCTGTATCTAATGGAAACCCTCAGAGTCAGTACTGGGACCAGTACTATTCAATGTATTCATCAGCAACCTGGGTGAGGGAACAGAGTGCACTGTCAGCAGTTTTGCTGATGACACTGAACTGGGAGGAGTGGCTGGCACACCAGGGGGCTGTGCTGCCATTCAGAGGAACCTGGACAGGCTGGAGAGCTGGTCAGGGAGAAATTTAATGAAATAAGAGGGCAAGTGTAGAGTCTTGCATCTGGGGAAGAACAACCCCATGGACCAGTACAGGCTGGCGTCTGAGCTGCTGGAGAGCAGGGTAGGAGAAAGGGACCTGGGGGTCCTGGTGGGCAGGAGGATGGGGTCCCACAGTTCCAGAAGGACAGGGAACTGCTTGAAAGAGCCCAGGGCAGAGCCACAGAGATGCTGGAGGGAGGGGAACATCTCCCTGATGAGGAAAGGATGAGGGAGCTGGGTCTGTTGGGCTTGGAGAAAAGGAGACTGAGGGGTGACCTCATCAGTGGTTACAAATATGTAAAGGGTGAGTGTCAGGAAGATGGAGTTAAGCTTTTTTCAGTGATGACCAGTGATAGGACAAGGGGTAATGGGTGCAAACTGGAGCATAGGAGGTTCAATGTGAATCTCAGGAAGAACTTCTTTGCTGTGAGAGTGACAGAGCCCTGGGCCAGGCTGCCCAGAGAGGCTGTGGAGTCTCCTTCTCTGGAGACATTCAAACCCCCTTGGCCACGTTCCTGTGTGATGTGCTCTGGGTGCCCCTGCTCTGGCAGGGGGGGTGGGCTGGGTGATCTTTTGAGGTCCCTTCCAACCCCTGACATTCAGTGATTCTGTGGTTAATCTATGGTTTGTCTTTTGAAAAACAATTGTTTAGTCCTTCCCCCCAAATGGAGGTTATTTTACCCCCACATTTGCATGTGTCAAAGGGGCTGTGTATGGGGCTACTTGTAAGGCATCCTGAAGCTTAAAAAAAATATTAAGACCTTCTATCACAACCCTGCCACTGCTGCCACACGTTTGCTACTATTTCTACCTGTAGTATAGATTAGGTCACATGTGTTGAAATAAATTACAAGATAGTATTTTGCTGGACTAATCTCAAAACAAATTATGGATTGTTAATTTAGTCGTTCTCTGAAAACCAAATATCAAACCAAAAGAAAAGAAGACTGGCACAGATGGTGTGAAAGAACAGTAACTAATACACTATAAAATAAATTAACTGTACTTTATTCTTGCAAAAAGGCTGTTGTCCTTCAGGTTTAGACAGAAAATTACATTATCACAGATTATCATAAATTTGGGGGGTTGGTGGGAATTTTAATTCAGAGTATTTTGGAATTCACCTAGATGATTTACTAGACTTGTGACTTTATATGTCTAATAAATTTTAATACATATTTAATGAATTTTTAAATGCATATTTAATGGACATTTCCTTTAGGCAAAGCCTTGGACATTTTCCTAAATACATTTAAGTACTTTCTGACATTTCAATGAGAGCTTTTCAAGTGCAGTAAAGAACTCTCCAGTATCAAGCTTCCTTTATGTATCATTGTCACTTTTTATTGTGTAGGACCCCCTGAACAAATATAAAATAACATCTGCAGTCCTCATTCTCCATCAAACCAGCATAAAAGGACAGCTGGAATTAGGCTCTGTGGAATATCTGCAGTGCAGGAGACCTCTTTAGTAAGGTTTGCACTCTATATCAACCTCTTATGAGACATCTAGCAAAAATGACTACCCAAGGTAGGAAAGGAAGTAACATTTTAGATCTCACAAGGAGGTCCAATTTACTAGCAGAGCTGGCATAATCTAGATCAAGGATCAGGAACTTGATATATCCCCACTCCAGTATAGACTTTGGTGAGCAAAAAGGCTAATCTGAACTCATACTTGCTAGCCCAAATATTGCCTTCAACTGTAAATCAGAGCTCAAGTTCCCTTCTCCCAGGCCTCTCCAGAACAAAACTGGATGATTCCCCAGCCTGAAACTTCAGAACACAGATGGCAAAGGAGGCTCAGCCCTTATACACTTCACTGACTGTCAATGTGTGGCCCAAAATCAGGAGCAGTTTGTTTCCTGTCTGCAGAATTTTGACTCTCTCCACTTCCACCCTGTTAACACCCAGGCTGGAGTGACTCTGCAATAAACCAGTATGATTCACAGCACACAAATATTCTGGCAAGAACGAGCTCTAACAAAAAGAACCCACCCACCCAACCACCACTGATGCAATGGCTACTGTTCATCTGCCAGTGCAATCCAGTGCATCCTGCATATTTGCTTACCTATTGCAGCATCATTTTCAAATGACAAATAAGAACTTATATGGCAATAAACATCTTTCAAATAGGCCTACATTGAGAATAAAGATTAAAAGGAATTGCTGAGACTGACTTGTCTGACTGGGAGCTTTCCCTAGTTGAGTGAAACTCAATCAAGACCTTGAATTCACCCCTAGGATTTGAGAGAATATCAGTGGAAATAAGTTCTTCCATTCTTTCAGCAGCAGCAAAGATATTCAGGTTTCAAAATGTCTCATTTTCTTAGAAAAACATTTTGACTTAGATTCTAGTAGTTGTCCAAATCATTAAATCACAATTCCTAGCACAACTGTTTTTACTGTTAACATTATTAACATATGTTTTAGGTGGGACACACAGACAACAGGACACAGAGAAGCGTCAAAAAGCCCAGAAATGCTGATGTATGACTACTTTAAACCACATTGGCAACAGGAAAAAAAGGTATTTTCAGCATCACAGCTCAAGTGATGCTAGAAAAGATTTTTCCCAGCTTACAGCCATGTTGTCTTTGTCATAAATTAGGTAGCAAAGCTCAAATACCTGCTTATCTTGTAGGTCTGAAGAGAGTTCATAGCTCTCAGAAAGTGATCTTGACCTCTTGATAGCCTCTTCCTCTGCCTGTTTTCGCAGTATGGATGTTGAGTGCTGAAGCTTCGGCCGCCGAGATCTTTGTCCAGGGGAGACAGAGTACAGCCCATAGGCAGAGTGGTCGTAATGGTCTGGGCTCAGAGCTGAGCTGTGTGTTATAGGTCCTTGGTGGTAAGCTGATGGGCTGTCCAAAGACGTGCCAGTGTCACTGCTTGGAGCTTCACCCTCAACACTAGACAGAACGGAAAGAGAGGAAAATCCTCAGGTGAGCACTGTGCACCAGAACTGTCAGCAACAAACAGCACAGCTTTGCTTTGCATCATGTTGTGCAGACACCCAGCATATTTTGTTCAAATTCAGATGCAGTTAGTACAGGGTAATGTGGCTTTCATGGCAAGCACCAGCATTTTCACTGCAGTCTAAGCAAGTCTCCATTCCTGTTGCAGAGGTCATCTTTAGAACAGGAGTCAAGCAGGAGAATGGAGATTTCAAGCATTATTTAACTTCATACAGCAGTTACCAGTAACATCCTGAGCAAGTCACTCAGCAACTACCGTGTAAAATAAATGACAACTTAATTTCTTATAAGCCTGCTCATTTCTAAGTTGCTCTAATTCACAATGACAGATGCTTATTTGTGTCTTTCCTTGTTTTCACATATAAAAGCAATTCTTCCCTGCTGATACACTACAGATTGACATAAAAAGATCACTGTCACATTACTCAGAGATCTGGGATTTGACTGATCTTGTGAGCTACTGTATTTCTAGAAGCTGAAGTCGGGAAAAAGCACCACCAGGAGAAATCTCCTTTATTTCTCCATTAGTGAAAGATTGCTCCCATGGGATACTTTTGGCATGCTTTGCAGCAAAGCATCCCCAGGGATGCTGTTTCTAGCTAATGAAAGCAAGACAGCATCAGGTAGGCAAAACACACCAGGAGCTATCAGGCAAATAAAACACTTTGTTTTCACGTGAATGCTGTTATTGTTAAGGAATAAAGGAAAAAACCCCTTTACATTAAAGGAGTTGCACACAATAGGAAACATTTTAAAACTGAGTCCTAGTCAAGGTTTACACTGAAGTAGTGATGACTAATAACAATCTGTGTTTGTTTTATATTTACAGTAGGGCATTCTCACATTGCTGCAGTGTAGGCACTTTCCCTCTTCCACAGTATCCCCTTTTCATCTGTTTCTCATAAATATTTACCATCTGCCTCATCCTGTGTACACACAACATTGAAAGCAAAAGGAAACTTCACTTTTTTTAATCATTCAAAAGACTTAGCAAACACTCCACACATGCACGAATATAAGCATTTGCACTATGTCCACTACCTTTTGTTTCAGGAACACCCCAACTCTAAAGGAGTACAATTCCACATGATTCCACCATGCCCTGTGCTTCTTATTCAGCTTTCATTCACATGTATACA